CTTGCCAGCAGCAAACGCTGGGCCATCATCTTCACCTGCTTGGGCATCAGGGCCATTCATGTTGAGGTCATCGAGATGATGGAGTCGTCTAGTTCTATCAATGCTCTGAGACGATTCATCTCTATCCGAGGACCAGTAAAGCAGTTGAGGTCCGACTGTGGGACCAACTTTCTGGGAGTGCGCAAGGAGCTCGGAATAACTTCAAAACATTGCAACAACCAGGAAATTCAAGACTTTTTATCCAAGAATAAATACACATGGATCTTCAACCCTCCTCATAGTTCTCATATGGGAGGAAGGTGGGAGTGCATGATCGGCATCGGGAAGCGCATACTGGACTAACTGTCAACCCAGTTTGCCTGTTGACCCATGAGGTTCTCGTTACCCTTCTAGCAGAGGTAACCACTATTGTAAACTCTAGACTGCTACTACCAGTCTTGTCAGATCCAGATTGCCCCTTTCTTCTTACGCCTGCTACCCTCCTTACGCAGAAAACTGGATTACCACCTACACCACCCGGGCACTTTGACAATAAATATTTGTTCGGACCCCAATGGAGACAAGTGCAACATCTTTCAAATGTCTTCTGGCACCGTTGGAAAACACAATACCTGCCGACACTCCAAGAGCGAAGAAAATGGCAATCTGTGAGTCAAAATCTTCAAAAGGGAGATCTAGTTCTTCTAAAGGACAGTCGAGCTAAAAGAAACCACTGGCCCATGGGGGTGGTTGTTGAGACCTTTCCTAGCCAAGATGGACATGTCAGAAAGATTCAGGTAAAGGTCACTTCTGGAGGAACATCTAAAACCTTCTTAAGACCAGTGACAGAGACTGTACTCCTGCTGTGAAATACTAATAGAGACATTGATCCTTAAAGATGGTGATGACATCCAATAGATGTCAGACAGGGAGTGTGCTGGTGTAGTTCTTCTTCCCACCAGCAAGAGTCACTACAGTTCTTTCATGCCAAATTTGTTTGTTATTAGCTGCAGAGTTAGTAATGCAGCACACTTTGAGAAAAGACTGACTAAGCATGTTGTTCGGATAAACATCTGCATCCATCCCCTTCGTTGTTTTACAGAAAGCATCGCTTATGAGTATTTAAGTTGAACAAGAGTTAATGCAACTATATTTGCTATTATTTATGCACTTTTATGGTTAAAGGTGTACTGTATTCAGATTTACTTTCTTTCCAATGTTAGCTAGTTTAGTCAACTGATTTGCATTATCATGTGAATATATAGACTGAATATTGCTTATTTTCTTCTGTTTGTAGATTCACTCTGTTGATAATTGAAGGCAGTGTCAATAAAAGGGACGATACACCTGTCAGTTGTCGAGGAGTTTATCTATCTGCATAACTGTATCCAGTGTAGCAGTGAGGGCAGAATACATTTCATACAGTTAATCAATCTTTACTACTAGATAAAGTACAATAGGGGAGTGGCACTAAGCTGGATCAGAATGTATTAATCTAGAAGACAACAGTTTGTGAAGATGGGAGAATTTACATCTGGGTACATGGAAATTGCTTGTGGAGTCCCCTAAGGGTCAGTATAAATGATTTAAGACAGTTACAAAATTGTATGGATGGCAATAAATTATCACTAAATCTTAGCAAAACAATAGCAATGATTTTTGGTAACTATAAAGTGAATGATAGGATACAAACACAGATAGAAAATTAAAAAATTGAAATAGTAAAGGAGATGTTTGATATATGACAATAAAATCAGTTGGAAACCCTATATCAGATACATACAAAACAAAAGCATCTCAATCATGAACAAAATTAAACTTGTTCTAGATTATAATTGTCTCTAAATACTGTATTGTTCTTTAATTCTTCCATATTTAACTTACTGTGTAGAGGTATGGGGAAATAATGATAAAAAAGGGCAGTTTATATAATACACAAAGTTTGGTATCTTCATAATGCAAATTTCTTATTTTTAAAGTCAAAATTATTAAAACTTCATGACTTGCTTAATTACAATACAGCACAGATAATTTTTAGAGTAATATTCCAGATCTTTTCAACCAGAGACGGGGGCTACAATTTTAGAGGGAATGGGAATTTTAAGGTGCACGTAGTGACAAGTAAGTTTTTGTGTGTCTGTGTGTGGGGTTAAACTGTAGATTTACACAAGCTATGAATGTTTCTTAGAGCCAATTCTAAATAACTGGAGATTCCAACTTCATAACCTATTGTAGATTAAGTACAAATTATTTTTTGGGTCATCACTTTGCAAAGGTCTAGAAGAAGAAGAAGACAGAAGAAAGAAGGCACCTTCATACTTGAATTCAATTTGAAGCTGCCATCATGGACCAGCTAAATACCTTCTGGAGAAATGTTTTATCATCAGATAAAATATTTGGTCACAATGACAGGAGATATGTTTGTAGAAATAAGGGAAATAAGGGTCATTGTAGAACATTCCATCAAATATATATTTGACCCTTTATGCATAATTTTGGCTCTGTGTGGATTAGAGAAAATTCCAAAGAAATCAAAATGCGTTTTGAATCATTAAAGTTGTATGCTGTGCAGTCATTTCATCCTGGAAAAAAATAACTCAAAGAAATCCCATAAGACCCCAGACTTATTTTTACTGTCAGAAAATAACTATGGAGAGTCAGTAAAGGTGCGGTGACAGGTGGGTTCTTATGGGTTAAATGGCGAAATTACCATGAAATTTAAGCCCATGGTGAGTGTATGGAAACTTTAACCACATCACTTTTTCCCCTTTCTTCTGTATGTGCTCTAGAAATTTAGAGTTGGCTTATTCATGTCCAATTGTTATTGTGTGTCCCTGTGTGTCTCCTTAGAAATGGCTGGTACACTGAGAACTCTCCAATTCTATTCTCTCCTTTTCCCACAGTTTTATTTTTGGCCTGAAAGTGACCGTGCATCTACTCCTCATGTAACCACCTGGGTGTCTGTATATCCATCTATTTGTATGGCTGCCCACGCCCCTGTGTTTTCTCACCAGGGTTTGATTTCAAACTGAACTGATAAGGAAGTCAGCAGTTCCTTGAAGACTCAAGGGAGGAGAGGAGTGTGTGAAGACAAGGATTATTTAACTCACACTTTTGAGTTTTAGTTACTTTCCCAATATATTGCTTTTTTTTTATTCATTAATTTTAGTCCTTTTTGATTTTGTTAAGCCAGTTTCAATCTTAACTTGTGAGCATTTATTTATGAGCATATTTGCCTATAATTTCAGTTTTATTTCCATCTATGTCACAGTAATCAGTGTTAGTTTGTCTGTACATCCATGTTACATTGCAGGGTCTAATGAGTCCTCTCTCACAATTTAATCCGTCTATCTATCTAACTTTTCTGTCTTTATTGACTATAAACAGTGATCTGCTGCTCAAATTAAGAGCTTTCATCATCTTTACAAGTCATTCTTTTATTTCAGCAAAATGTGCGTTAAAATATGCATATAAAATATATGTTTTTCTTTGAGGAGGAAATATAAATCTTCATTACATTCTATAGTCAATAAATCTTTGATTTTATAGAAGACTTAACCAATAAAAAGTGCTTAAAAGTGAAAAAAAAAAAACAACCCCACTTTTTGGATTCATAATTAAAAGCTCATAAAGTATTTAAATGAACTAAATATAGCAAGAAACTTCAGGAGATCTGGTCTCTTTGGCTCCAGGAAATCTAAAGCAAACATTGTGTTTGCTTTAGATTTGCTTTTCTGTGTTAATGAAACACAGAAAAGCCAGTAAAACTCTCTGAAGTGGGGAAACGTTTTAAAGTTAATCTGCATCATATACGTTTCCATTGCTCAAATATCCAAGAAGTCTAACTAAACCAGAACTAAACAGAAGTAAAAATGTTTTCCTTCAGAGAAGTTCAGAGTTTAAAACTGTGGATGCATTTGGCAGTTTCGAAATTTTGTGACAAATGGTGATTTCAGTCTAAGGGAAATATTTAGTAAAAATAAAAATTACTCCCCAAAACAAACAAAACAAACACCACAAACAAATTTACTTTTTTAAGAAATATATTTTTGCTGCTTTAAAATTGGAAAGAGAAAGAAAATAAAGTTGCATTAAAATTCTTATTTCTAAATGTAGCTCTGAATTGGTGAGTTTTACACTTTAAACTGTTTCAAAGGTGCAAGGGTTTTCCAAACTTTGTGTGTTTCAGTCAGGTGAAACTTTGTAATCATTTTTACTCTATATAGTAGCTTATAAAAGAAAATCAGCTTTTTAAAAACTACATGGGGTCAAATCCAGTTTCCAAAGTGCATGACTCTACTACTACTGGATTTTAAACCACTGAATGTCTGACTGGTTTTCAGCACTCATCTGTGAAATAAGTATTTTCAATAGTCTGAGCATCGTTTAGAACCTCACTGAGAGAAATAATGAATCTAAAGTAGTTTTATTTTCTTCCTCCTAGTTCTTATTCTGACTTTGGAACATTTCTCATTGATCCTGACAGTCTGCAGTGTCTAACAAATGAGTTGGCTTTCTAAATCTTTTTTTAAAATGTAATCTTAGAAACACAGGCCTTATTCACAGCTGGACACATTTGTTGTTTATCACATTTAAGGTGAGTAATGCATGTGTCTAGCTGTAGTCCAGTTTAAAGCAGGAAAACAAATTTTCACTCAAATTTTTCTGTTGAAACCAATTAGGGAGTTAAAAAGTAAAAACCTATTTCTCCTGGATGCTACTTTTACCTTGAAAAAACAAACAAACAAAGATTTGAAGTCGGAATTAGTCTTAATTTGGTGAAAGTTTCAATCCTGAGAGTTTCATTCAAATTCAGTTAGTCCCATGTTTGGTCTCTGATCCAGAAAATGTTAAACTTTACTCTTTGTGAATCTATCTGAAATGGCTCAATTCAGAACACTCGAAAAAACTTACAGGTTTGGAGTGATACCCTTGATTTGAAAGGTAACCTCAATATAGGGACTTAGATAGAAGTGGGACAGAAGTGTTTCTGCTGGAGTATCTCAGACATACTTAGAACTGTTCATCGTAGTTGGGTGGGTGGGGTCTTCTACTCCTAGGGACCAGAACAATGAATGTTGGAAGGCACTCTCACACATACTCAGTCCTGGTTCTTTCAAAATTGGGTCCTGGTGTCACAATGCCCAGAGGGATGTGCACAGGCCTGTCCAGCTTCTGGAAATGAAGACAGGAAATCAGCAGCAGCGTTCCTGCCACCAGGTGGAGGATGCCTGCAATCCAGCCACAGAACAGAGCATAGCCGAACTCCCAGCGAGGGACAATCTGAGGCACTGTCTCGTCGAAGAATCTCACAAGCGTCAGGTGGGCGACGTAAGAGACCGGGATAAGGCCCAGGATCCCTGTTACCAGGCACAGTGCCCCGCCTATTGCCTTCAGCGCCCTCTTACAGCTAAAGTCATCCAGGTGGTTTTGGCAGCCATTAACCAGGCGGATACCGGGGATGGCCAGCAGCACACCCAACAATCCCACCCCCAGCACCAAGGACATGAGAATCCGGGCCAGTATAATGTCTGGTGGCAGTTCAAACATGCTGTCATAGGGCCGGCACTCCAGCTTATCCGTCGCTTCCTGGCTCACACAGGTCACCCAGAGGCCCATGTTAGTTTCCTCAGTGGGAAGCAGGTCTGTAGACAGTGTGATCCATGAAGGCATCAGGATGGTGGTCAGGGAACAGATCCAGGCCACTATTGCTAAACCAACCCCCAGCAGCTCTAGAGTGCCATTGCTAGAGTCCATGACAGCGATGCTGTAGCTCTCAGAGGGTCCTGGTCTTTACTTTGCTCCTTTCAGGAGGGGGATCTGCTGGGACATCAATGCTAGCAGAGACAGACTTTGCAGTCAGGCCCAGCTGGAAAAGTTATCACACCCTGTCCAGGCAGAGGAAGGCTATGATTGGCCGACTGGAAACAACAGGATTGCCGTGAGGTCACCTGCAGGCAGGATTTTCTTCGAGAGAGGATGTTATCGATGCCTACATCTCTGACTGTAAAGCATTTGATGTCAATGGCATCACTCGCTCAGCTTCTCTGCTTTCTTCATCCTTGCCCCTCCTCCCCACAGAATCACCAGTGAAAACTGACACTTTTACACAATCAGGGAAAAAGTTCAGGCTTTCTTCAGCAGATCAACAGAATACAAGAAACAATTTGCACCTGCACACTTACAGAATCAACAGCACTGTGGGTGGAATACACAGTGAGAAAATGAACCTATTTAGGCAAGTCACTTTTCCTAATTCACTGAATTTTCTTTTTTCCTAACACTTATTTTTTTTCAGTTGAGCTTTTTAGTCTTCAAAGGTGTCACCAAATTCTAAACTCTATATCTGGTCAAAAAGAGGATTTGTAGGACACTTGTTTTGGAAATAAAACTGAAATTATTTTGTGTTGAAGATATTCACATTTATTCTATCAAAATATTAATATATCTTTAGTTTCTGTGAAAATGTACAGATAGCTTGAATGGAGTCTGATTGGGTCTAATTTTAGGTTATTTGTGGTGAAGAGAAGACTGGTAATATTGAGATTGGTCAATATCTAATTAAACTAAAATAATAAATACTGAAATATACACTTTTTTGTCCATAAAAAGATGTGAAAAGTTATTTTTTAAAATCAAATTTCAGCCATTTTTTTTTTTTTTTGGGCCTGATGGTACCTCCTGCTGGTAGTTTGCAGAGACTACACATAAAGAAATGCAGTACATGTTTACATTCCAGGTTCTACTGTAAATAAAAATCTGGGGTCAACCTTTCCTAAAGACTCTTAATGTTGTAGGGTTGTCCTGGGAGACATGCTTTTGTCATGAATATATCCTTGGCAGACCGGGATTTTCAGGAATCAAGAACAGAGGGCTTGATCTTCTAGTGTTCACCCTTTTCATCCTACCTGAGAAGGTCTATGCCAGGGTGCTGGAACTCCTGGAAAGGACAGTCTATCCAACAGTTGAATATGAGGTCGAGGAGGAACAATCAAGTTTTCATTCTGGTCATGGAACACTGAATCACCTCTTTATCATCTTGAAGCTGCGCAAGGGTACATGGAAGTTTCCCAAGTGTTTTGTGTACACTAAGAAGTCATTTAACTAGGACATCCTATGGGGATAGCTTCAGGAGCACATACTGCACTGTAATGAGTGAACAAACTCTTGGATGCTACAAATACAGTTTTCATATTTCCATAAAAGGAAGAAAATGGTGACAAAACTTAAACTTATACAAAACAATACTTTCATTATTTCCAAGCTTCCTATTCTGTGTTTTTGTTTTTGAACTTACTATCAAACACACAAACATATATTACAGGTTGCAAATACATTTGATGCTACTTGTCATTTCTATATATAGTATCTATCCATCTATCTCTATTTATATATGCCTAAATGTAATTTTACTGTACTACAGTTAATATGGGCTCTAGCAGTTCTTTTCCTCCCCTTTAGATGGTGATACATACTCACCAATAAGCACCAAGCAGATCAGTTTTATGACAAGAACTGCAGTAGTATTAAGTTTTGCTTGGCCATTGTGGTCTGAATGTTTGACATCATACAAAATAAAAGACACATCTATCTATCTATCTATCTATCTATCTATCTATCTATCTATCTATCTATCTATCTATTTCTATCTATCTATCTATCTATCTATCTATCTATCTATCTATCTATCTATCTATCTATCTATCTATCTATCTATCTATCTATCTATCTATCTATCTATCTATATCTATCTATCTATCTATCTATCTATCTATCTATCTATCTATCTATCTTTATCATTTTATCTCTCTAATATCTCAATTATTATCATGATATAATTTGAATAGACCTGCTGACTTTGTATTGGCCCTAATAGATCCACATAAATACACTGGAAATGGTGCGTGCAGTGCATGTGTTTGTGTGCTGTTTGTCTGAAATAGCTGGTGTCTCTTTGTAGTGACTTTAATCCCAACCCAAAATGGAAACACACATACAGCCAGCATATACAGAGTTTGCCAACAGCACCTGAATCTATGACATACTGTGTTGCATTTTTCCCACTGAGAAACTATTTGCTTACAAAAAAGTAAGCATTGCTATTTTTCATGCAACTGAATAATGCTTCAGTGTTTTTCAGGGACAAAAAGATGGAGGGAAAAAATGTGGTTAATGGGTAGTCTTTTGTGGTTTTAGGCATTTTCAGGAATGTCCAGGTTTTGCTTTCATAGTCTCTCTGCCATCACATCCCACCAATGTGCATGTCACTGTGTAGCTGTGTCTATGGCTGACCTAGACTGACTAAAGAGTATATTTAATATGAATTGGTGTCCCTTTGTTTTTGCCTGACCAGCTCACCTCAGACACATTATTGTTAGAAGTGAGATTCGTTGATTCCTTTCAACCAAATTTGACAGACTTCTGCTAAATGTATGCAGATACTTAAACTTACAATATATAAACGGCCAGAGTATTTGATTTGTAAAAACAGAGGCAAAGTGTTAAATATCTTGTAATATTAAATTGACATAAATCAATTTTTTAAATACCTGGTTTATTGCTAAGTGTTTGTATTATATAAATGTGCCAACAGAATTAATCAATCATGCTTTTCGAACGGCCAAGATGTTTGTGTTCTGGGGTTGGTGAGCGAACATTTTGTATTTTATTTATTGGTTACTTAACACTAACTTGCAGGTTAGATTGCTAACCTAGCTACCTTTAAAAGGGAAAGCGGTGGGCTGCAGATCACAGATTAGAATTAACTTCTGTAAAAATGATAAATGTAAGCCTAATATTCCATTTCTGTCTCTTTAGCAGTTTACAGACTTTTTCTGCAATGTTTTTCTTCATTGCAAAGAATAAATAAATAAATTACATAGTGCAGATAGTACTTGATTCATTCAAAAAAGAAAGAAAGATTAAAGCATCACAATTAATTTTAATTAAATTGCATACATTAAGTGCCTTTTGTGTGAGTCCACTGAGTTGATAACTTTCTCTAAACTTTATTTTACGTTCCAAGATGCTGATTCTGTGGATGGGGATCACATCACGAGCTTGCGGCAGCCAATGGGAGGAGAAATTAGAAGTGGTGATTAAAGATGATGGTTGTTAAGGAGAGAGACATGTCTCCCTCCTTCTTATTCCCATCTAGGTCTGGCTCTACTATCAATGGGAGCTTTCACTTTGCTTTTGCATGAAAAAATATGATGGTTGTGTGTGTGTGTGTGTGTGTGTGTGTGTGTGTGTGTGTGTGTGTGTGTGTGTGTGTGTGTGTGCGCGCATGTGTGTGTGTGTGTGTGTGTGACAGATAGAGTCCAACAGTCCACTCCAATGCATGAGTGGCTTGGAAAGGTGCCAGCATGCAAAAACCTAGCAACAAGATTTGACTTGGCCTGCTGAGAGAGAGTGAGAAATAGAGAGTGAGAGAGAGAGCGAGAGAGAGATCTGGCATGTGCACAGCATGGGCATATGGATCTTTGTTTGTCCGTTTTGGACCATTTAGTCATTCTGTCACTCCAACTGGACTACTTAGCGAATTGGTGCTACTTGGTTCTGAATCGCACACACACACACAAACGTATTTGCAAAGACACACATGGGTGAGCCAAGCCTTGACTCTACTGCTTTACAGTCTGTTACTGTTCACATGGCCTGAATGAAATAAAAAACCTTTTCCAATTAATCCTTTTAACCAACATGTGTGATCCCTGGCTCACGCTGATGTGGCCTTCAAGCTAACCGAGTCTATGCCAAGTCAAGTCACTTCATAGCCCCTAGAGCCTTTGCTGACCATCAGCACTGATCAGCTATGAAGGTAGCCAGCTCCAACATTGATTTCCATTTACTTCTGAATCCAGTTAAATATATGTGGGGTTCACTCAAAGGCCTGTTTTTTTGTTTGTTTTTCTTTTGCTTCTTACAGAGTCTGACAATTTCTAGCTGGACTTATAAAAGATTATTTGAAGGTGCAAATATTGTTTGCTGAAATATAAAATACTGTATTTAACTCCTGTGTACTTTTTGCTTTAAAACATAACCCTCAAAATCCATACCTCTAATTCAAACTTTTTCCTTGCTGACAACCCAGTTTGGTGAGCAGCGGTTTTGTCTTGGTCTGTCTTCCATGGATGCCATTTTTGCAATGTCTCTTTCCTATTGTTTAATCATGAGCACTGATCAAGACGAGTGAGGCCACCAGTTCTTTAGATGTTCTTTTGGACCTTCTGGATGACTCATTGATGCACTCTTGGAATAATTTTGGTTGGCTGGCCAAAAAAGAAATGGTTCTTACTGTGGTTCACTGGAGTTCCAAAGTCTTAGAAATGGCTTTCAAACCCTTTACAGACTGATAGATGACTTTGTTTCTCAGCTCTTTCCTAAGGTTGTGGCATGTTGTGTTGCTTTTTTGGGATGTTTACTTTGTCAGACAGATTGTACTATTAAGACATTTCTTGTTGAATCAAGCAACCACTTTATGTGGCAGTAAACACGAGCTTTCCAAAAAAGAAGAAAAAAAGGTTAATTGCAGTTAATTCATGATTTAACTACTTATTTGGTTGCTTTTTTGCACAAGGCCAGGTAGGTTTGGTTAACTTTTTTTTAATCTCATTGAATTAAATCATCATTTAAAAACTGCATTTTGTACTTATTCAGACTAACTAAAATTTGTTGATGACTTTAAACATTTAAGTGGGTCAAATATGCTTCACTGCACTGCAGGTCCATTTTTGCACCATCCAGTAAGTATAAATATTACCTCCATCCATCCATTCGCTTCCGCTTATCCTTTTCAGGGTCGCAGGGGGCGCTGGAGCCTATCCCAGCTGTCATAGGGCGAGAGGCAGGGTACACCCTGGACAGGTCGCCAGTCTGTCGCAGGGCCAACACACAGGGACAG